TGTTGGCTTCCCAGCCAGTAGTCCTGTGGTAATGACATGTATGTTGCCTTTCTTTCCTTCAAGGAATGTATAAAATACATTCACATATTAATAGAGAGGAGTCGGAAGTACAAAAAACTGAGGAGTCGGAGTCGGAGCATTTATCTACCGACTCCACAGCCCTGGTTATAAGCCACTTCACCAAATGGCAGGAGTTCTGCCCAATTGTCCTGCTGATAAAGCATCGTAAATACTGTTCTAATAGAGAGTTCAAACGTTTGGAAGCACCTTCTGTCTGGGGGTGGTTACTTAAACTCAGGGCTTGACTTGACCCAATTAGCTTTACGAATGCCTTCCAGAACCTGGAAGTGAATTAGACCCCACGATTGCTAATGATCTGGTCAAGGGCCCCATGTAGTCTATAGATATGCTGTATAAACATTTTAGCCAACTTCCCTGCAGTTGGAATGGTTGCACGTGCCACAAAACGGGCTACTTTTGAAAACAAGTCAGTTACTACCCAGATCATGGTTTTCTTCTTACTTTCAGGTAGTTCAACAATAAAATCCATAGCAATTTGTTTCCAAGGTTTCTCAGGGCTCGCTACTGGTTATAAAAGACCCATTAGTTTCTCCCCCTTGTCTTTTTGCCCTAACACACGTTGGGCAACTGGCTACATATTCTGCTATGTCTTTCCTCATAGATGGCCACCAGAACTGCCTTCGTAGGAAGTGTAAAGTCTTCACAAACCCAAAATGGCCTGTTTTACTGTCATGACCTTGTTCTAGGACCATTTTCCTGGACTCAGTTGGGACATACAACTTTCCACCTACCCACCACGCTCCATCTTTGTCAAAGATTCTTTATTCTTCTGGAACCATACATCCATTTGTAATTTACAGTTTAACTCATTCAGCAAATTGTAAGAGTTGCCACATTCAGTGCCGAATGAAACTCTCGCGAAACACAGGTTCAGTCAAAGAAGTTTACTCAGGTGTAATGCAGGTGGTTACAAACAAAGCCAGGGTTGGCTTGGTGCAGTTACATACAGCGGTCTTATAGGGTTCCCTCCTTGACCTGGAGTTACCCCTTTTCCCGCCCTTCTCCCAGTTGCCTGGGTTACTGGTTTGCCCGCGATGTTCTCCCCCTCGCCCAAATGACAGATTCAGCCTTGTTTCTTTGTCTCCCTGATTACTGTCCTTTGCTTGTGGGGTTGTTGAGATCGCTGGGCTTTTCTTCTGCAGGCTAAGCTGGGGCTTCTTAATTGCTTGTCAATTGCTGCGCTTCCGAGCCGTTGCGATTTGCGTTGCCTGGGGTGCTTAAGGGAAGCCGGCTTTGTTACAAAGTATCCGCTCTTGCCCTGAGTCAGTTGCTGCCACCTGCCGGCAATTGACTTGCGGTTTGCCCTACTTCCTCTTTTCTGCTGCCTGCGCCTGAGGCGGTGAAATTGACTAGGGGCAGTGAAACTGAACAGTGGCGTTGGCCATGCCGTGCCGGCTGAATCTGACACAAATCTCCGTCTGGTTTGCACTCCCACTGTTTACCTTGAGCTCTGGTAACAGCTACCATTCCTGTCTGGGGACATGGACCAATGGCGGTGACTACTTCTCTCTGGCTGTGGTGCTGTGGTAACCTGGAAAGTGCATCAGCCAGG